ATCGTGCTCCTCCTTGAGAAATGTAAGAGTTGGATCCAAATGTTCTCTAGAAAGTGATCTAGAACCAAAGTCTTGATAGCTCTGGGATGAACAAGACGATCCAGAATACATCTGTCCAGTAAAATGACCATTTCTGAAAGGAGTACATCCGCCACAAGCAAAACTTGGTGACTGCTTCCTGTCTGAACTCCAGTTTTCAATTGTCACTCCCTGCTTCGCTGCAATTTCTAGTATTTCTTTTTCATTAAGCCCTAATCCCATGAGCAAATTCCAGAGCTTCCTTTGTGCTTCCCGTTGGTTGTGAATGATTTGATCCCTCATTGCCATTTCAAACTGGAGCTCAGTATTAGCCATTCCCTATGCTCAGACAACACAACTCTTAGGCTCTGATTTGCAGCTATTCAAAATCTTTGATCTAGCATGCTGCTAAGTTTTTTTTTTCTTTTTTTTTTTCCAGATTGCATGTATAAAAATAGTTTTCATGCCTGCAAACAGTCAACTATATGATTTGCACCGTACTTACCAGGAGCCTGTATTGGCTGAGAATTCGTAGATAGGTTTTGTTTCCATTGTTACTAATGGCTTCCTCAATCATATCTTGAAGCTGGCATCTCTGCTTCTCATTTGCTTCAATTTCCTATAGTAACAAAATATATTAATTAATGCCAACAAAGATTATGATTTGGCAGGTTCGAACACAAGCAGACTAGAGAGGGTATCACCTTATGGTAATTGACACCAGACTCATCATTATCACGGATATTATCAAGAATAACTTGTCTCCTACCTCTCAGACCCTCCACAGTTGCTTGATCCTTTTCTAAACCCTATCACAGGTATGAAGAAGTAATTCATGATTAGAACAAATGAGTCACCAGTTCAAACCATCCATGCTCTATCATGGTAAGCAAACTGATAGGACATATAGCAAATAAATTTATGTTGTAAATAGGAAGCACCCAAACCCCACAAACAGACAAGTTTTGTTGTTTAGGTTTTCAAATTCATTATTTCCTAAAGACCACCCAAAATTGCGATATTAAAGAAAAATGTGATAAAAAGAAAAAAAATTGTTCCAAAGAAGCACTTAAAGTGTCATAGCTGGACTGCTATCCGAACTAAATTTTTGTTCATCTGCAGATCAAGACATATAAAGTTGAAATAAGTTGAAGCTCAGACGAAAAAATGAAAGAAAGCCGATCCTTTTTTTACTTTGCAGAAACGGGTACTAAAGTTCCACAGGAATGTTACTACAAACCTGCTGTTTTGCAATAGCATCATCAAGATGTTGGAGTTCAGTGCGGTTACGAAGGTTAGTTTCCTCAAGCTCAAATAATGCTTTCTGTAAATTGATTCGTTCCTGAACATTTTCATTTATTTCATGGCTCAAAACATCCAACCAAGAAAGCTCATCATCAGCAGCCCTTTCAGCAGGTTTGATACTTAGCTGTGATTCCTTTTCAGCTAGCTCCTTCTTCAGCCGGCAAACCTCAATCTGTACAATCAAAGATGTCAAATTTATATAGAGCTCTAACTCATAATAAGCAATCCTAAAAATCGGATGAGATACCAACCTGAAGACTGTCAATCATCCGTTGATAATCTAATACATGTGTATCGACTGTGCCAATGTTTTTCTGGGAAATTTAGCACGACCAATCAAACAACAAGATTTAATCAGGTTTCAGAATTGAACCACTAGTACATAGATAAAGCATAAACAAACAAATAAAGCTTTAGAATTTAAACTAAGAGAAAATAGTAGGCAGAATAAAAGCTGTCTTGAGTACTTCGATTAAAAAAAAGGCCATCTACTATATCAATACTTTCTCAATGGAAAAAGCAATGAAACATGACACCCCGACTAGTACCTTAGAGCATGACAGGTTCTCAATTTCATTTTATGAGTCAAAAAAGAAAATTCATTACACAAAAGGTGAGGCAAATATGAGTGCTACCTGAATATGTGTCTTTATTTCCTTTGCTCGATCTGCATATTTCAAGGTATTCACCGTGTGGTGATACTGACTATCTGCAGGTGATACTGTAGCAACCATCACAGTTTGAGAATTACCACTCAGGCCATCCTTAAGTATCCGAGTAAGCTTGCTGCAATGATATTGACATTAGGGGCATAAACAAAGAGAGCTTCAGACCAGGAATTATCATCTCATACCTATTGCGATACGGGACATAAGCAAGACCTTTCTTCTGTTGTTTACCAAGAGCATTGATGCAATTTGCTAAAGCAAGAAGTGAGCGATTAATGTTAGCACCATCCCTTAGTTTTTGGCCTCCTATATTTGTTTCTGAAGCTCTTTCACTCCCAGCTAGATCAACAAGAGCAAGTTTTCCTCGCATGACTTGATTTCGGTACTTGTTTCTCTGTTTCCTTTTCACGGTAATCTCCAAGACAGCATGTGATCTAGTTATGAAAAGATAACATGAGATCTTGAAAATAGACTGAACTAATAAGAATCAATATTTTTTTTAATGTTATATTATTAGACGAAGTAACCGGTAATATAGTGGAAATTCAATAAATGTTGTTTTTCCAACATAGGCTATTTATGATATCTCCTCTGATGAGTTATATTAACTATTGCTTTCCTCACCTTGATGATGTTACATTAGCTTCTGTGCTCTCTGTTTTCCTCCGACTATTCCCCAAATTTAGAAGTTCAAGAATTCTATCGGCAGAGTGTACCTGGAAAAGAGAAATCAATGAAAGCTTGCAGCTTCTGCAGAACCAGAACATATAGAGGAAAAGGCTGCCTAGCCAACAAAATTGACTAGAGTAGTTAAAGGATATATAATAAGGCAATCAACCAAACGAACATTTCGGGTAAGTCTTTAAGCCCAAAGGAATAAGCAACAAGAGAGATAAGAGAAAACAAAATTGAAGATGGTAGGAAAGACAGAAATTAGTTTTCCTAAAGAGGCTTGTAAAAGAGCCATTCTTCTTGATAAACACATCGCATAAAATGAATCATTTCAACTCATAACTATGAAGTCAGCCCATGTTTACTTCAAATTTCATAACGTCAATCATGACTAGAATAAGACTCCTTTGCCACTGCAAATGCAGGCAAGGCAAGTATTCAAATACGTAATATACAGGTTAGACTTTGCTTACAAACATTGAAATGAATTACTAACTCTAAGAAAAATTGCAACAAGATAGAATTTAATACATAATGAGATCCCATGTACTAAGGAAGTTGCTGAACCTTAATACATCTTAGGCCAGCAACAATTATCCCCTTCTCTGGATCCTCTCGAAGCTCCAAATGACCTGATGATTTCTCAAGTAAATCATAGATAACCTAAAACAGAAAGTCAATTAAAAAAGGTAAGTTTAAATAAAGAAAGAGAATGACTTTAAAAAGGAAATATTTTGTCAATCAAAATGGATGCCCTACTTCATTGTAGACTTCAAGGTAGGAACAAGAGACTTCAAATTCATCAGAGCTTTTGTCTTTTTTTATGAGGTCAAAAATTGTATGCAAACTGAGAACCATAAGACCAGGATCATCCTGGGTCCCAACCATTGTATATGTTTTACCACTGGAAAGGGAAGAATAGTTAGCTGCTGCAACAGACAAAACTACTGGAAATCAAAATGAAAAGGTAAGATCTTGATGATGCCAAATAAAGAACATCAATCCATTCACTTGGGTACCTTCCAGTTGAACCATAGGCAAAAACAGTCGCATTAAGACCTTGAACAACACCAGAGATTATAGAACATATACTTTTTGCATATACAACCTGCATTCATGAAGCTAAGTTAGATACAAAAATTCATTTATATAAACAATGCTATATATGAGATTATACTTTTTTGAACAATTTGTTTTTGATACTGACTTGAAATGAACAAACAATATCGCTATAAACAAAAACCATAAAAGGACAATGAAATACGTTCTTTTTGTTTAATGAATGTAAATGATAAGTCACAATAAGGAAAGAAATTTTTGGTTTAAGTCTTTGAGTTATGATAAAAACTAAGCTTGTCTGCTTATAATCCGCATGCAATCACACATAAGGTAACTGAAGATTCTAGTTTCAAATCAATTTCTTTAGAATCTTTAAAAAACAAGTATAAACAAGCATTTTATGCAGAGACAACAAATGGACCTTCAGGATATTATTCTAGTTTAACCACTGAAATTCCCCCAGCTTGAACAAGTGGCATGCTAATCTTTTTTTCCTAAAAAAAGAAACTGATATATTTCAACCACAAGATTAAACAATTACAGTAAGTTAACCAACCTACGTCATAAGTTGGTGATCTACTGAAATGTTTACCAATGCTTGAAAACATTAATCCATATAATTACATTGATATAATTTGAAATCAGAACATCGAAGTTAAGAATACAACTGATTGTCCCATACCTTGTTCGTACAATCAGGCCCAAAGGCGTGATCAAAACAGTACTTCTTCTCTTTGGTTCGATTCTGTATGCGTTCAAGGTAATCTTTTGACAAGTCAGGATCCAACACAGTCACCTTCTGCGTGAATTAACTTACAAAGTCAATTAACTACAATGTATTTTAGCTCAAATCAATCAACTCAAATCCAAAACTGTAAACCAAAAACACCTTGCTGTCGTTAACTCTGACAATGTCACGGCCACGTTCTCTTTCCATTAATGGCCTACATTTTACGGCAACCTGCGGCGGAAAATACGTATAGCGCAAGTAAAATAATGAATTGCGGGGAAGATCAGCACTGAAAAAAAAAATCACATGAATAGGAAGCACCAACCGTGAGAGTAGTGGTTTTCTTTGTAGCTGGAGCTCTGATACTCGGCATTTTACTTACTTCAACATCAAACTTCAATTTTTCTATTAAAAAAAAAAAAATCGACGTGGATCCTACAATATTGAGGAGCTCATCCCGAAAGAAAATCCCTAGTTCAAGCAAAATCCATGAACTGAAGGTAGCAAAACAGCATCGAAAAGCAAACAGAAAGCTATACAAGAAACACTTCGAAAGAGAAGAACTCTGAACTAATACTAAAACCCTCAGTAGAAACTAAAATTCAAAAGCACATCAAACAGAAACTACACCAACAAGAAAGGAAAAAATCTGGCATTCTGTCATTAACGATCAAAACAATAACCACATCTTGCAGCTTATTAACCAGTCGCCTCCATGAATGCTTTGCGGGACGCACTACATTTCAAGAAATTCAAAAAGATTTCGCGATTTCTTTTCTCGGCCAGTTTGAAACATTTAAAGCATAATAAGAGGAAAAACAAAAAAACGCTTGCGAGAATTTTCTTAAAAAAATTGAACATTAAAATAAATAAATAAATGAAGGAGACGCGTTGGAGGAAGAAGATCTCTGGACGCATTTGAACTAAGAGAAATGATTCCCTAGTTCGGCAGTGTAGGGTGAGTTACAGTGGAATCAAGCACGAAAGGCCCGTGATGACTAATAAATGAGACGGGATTTTAAGATGATCGATCGCAAGATGATTGTGACCGTTGACTGTAGCTGAGATGGACGTGTGAGATTTATTGTTATTCTTTATTGGGTTAAAAAGATTTTAAATTTTTTTATTTAATTTTGTGGGCACAATAAGAGTAAAAAGAATTTAAAAAAAAAAGGGAAAATTAAAGAGAGAGAAAAAAAAGTGGGTGTTTGTTAACGAACTGGTAGTTGGGTTTAGACAATTTGTTTGAAAGATTTTCGGCTTTTTGGGGTTTTTTTAAAAAAAAAAACTATTTTACGATAAATAATATTTTAAAAAATTGTTATTATAAAGAAATCAATAGTTTCGAAATTAAAAAGAAAATATAATATTTTTTTACAAATTATTATGCATTTATTTTATACAAAAATAGTAAAAAAAATATGCCTAAGATATACGAATTATATAATTATTATGTTTTGGTTCAAAAATATAACATTTTAATCTAATATCTAAAGATTAAGTATTTGACACCGTAAAATTAGTTATGATAATTCAATTAATTTAATTATTTTATATAATTAAGGAATGAATTAGAGAGAGAGAGAGTGGGGGAAAGTGGGATTTAGAAAACGATGTGTTTAACTGCTTCTTAAGTTTTTTGTCGCACACGTGGATCAGAAACTTTTGTTCATGGACTGATCCTGTCTGTTTGTTACTTCGTTTTTACCGGGAAAAAAACATTTTAATATTTATTTATTTAAAAAATTATGTAAATTAAAGATTAGTTCTTAAATTATGAATCGTCTTCTAATTATGTTTTAAAAATGATGTTACAATTTGACTCGTTGATTTGTGAATCTAATTTAAAACCATTTTTTTTAATAGAATAACAAAAAAAATTTAAAAGTAAGAATAATAATTTTTTATTTTTAAATAAAATTTAAAAATATATAGAAATTGAGAATTATTGACAAAATATTTGGAAATTAAATATAAAATTATTATTAATTAACAGTGTTCATAATTTAGTAGACGTGCATGGAGTTCAAAAAGGTGAGGGATTGATTAAAATATTTAATGAATTATTAATAATTAGGTGACGGCATAAATGAGAAACTTATGATCATACATGCTACATACCCTGTTTATTGTCTTCCTCATCCTTCCCTGCCTTATCAGTTGCTAAAAAATAGATGCTTGCACGTTTTTTTATAAGATAAAAAAAGAAAATGTGTGTGTGTGTAAATATATATATATATATATATATATTCTTTTTCCTTTTTCCAATCTTTAGCAAAAAAACTATTTTTGGATTCTTGACGCTATCAATGCTAAAAGGTGGGAAGTACAGGACTTGTTTACAGTCTAAGCTTTCAAACAAATTCTACAATTTATTTGTAAGTATCGTCAAGGCAGTTTGAGAAGCAGGCGCCATTTCAAAATTATTAGTTGAAGTAACTTCAAAAAATCAGTTCTTTTACTCAATAAGCCCGCCAAAGTTTTGAATCTGCTAGAAGTGCTGTTACATATATTTCTATGGTCAAGTGATCTGGAGAGTATTAGGGTGTCAGGCAGCCTGAAGAGACTGTAAAACTAATATATACAGACTGGTGCCTATGTTCTTGACAAGGTGTGCGGTGGAATGAAATAATTTTGATGAATTTTAACTGTGATATAAACATTGAAAAGACGATCAAGTAGTTAAGGACCATTACATTTCATATTAAGCATCAGAGTCGCAAACATCACTAAACTGGATGAAGAAGAGTCACGACTGACTCCTTAGAACCTCATGATTCCAATACATTGTCTTCTCTCTTGTCTGTGTTTCCGTCGAGCAATGGCTTCATGCTGGCTTTAATTGATGGAGATGTTTGATTTTCACAATCCTCATTAAACCTATCTACACTCTTTAGAAAAACTCCTGTAAAAGCAATGCCTTTGTGAGGAAAAATATGTAGAAATCTATTCTGTCGAAGCTACTGTCATCTATGGTTTGAGAGGATTTGTGATGCAGAACCATCTAAGCCTAAGTAGGAATTTCAGATTTGTTTAGCATTTTAGTTGATGTTAGAGCCATCGTAAAATAGTCCTAATGCCTGGATTATAGAAGCCCAATTCATGATTTTCTAGTAATATAATTTCATGTTTCTGCCAATTGTTGTTTCTCTTTCTCTTTCTTCTACTTTCCGCCTATATTGTCTTTTTTTCTGCTCAAATCCTTGCCTCTACTCCCCCTTTCCCTCTATCTATTTCTTTACTCCCCCTTTCTTTTGTTTTCCAACTCTAATTGTAAAAAACTTTTTATTTATTTTCTAGATTTATAAAAATATGAAAAATTGTTGAAAAATATGGATTTAGTTTGAAAATAACTTTTATTCATTTCAAACTCATCATATTTTCAGCGTTATTTATCAAATATTATTTTCATTTTCAAAACCATTATCTATTCTTGTCTTCAAACCTATATGAGTTTGGAAAATCTAAAAATAAGACAATTTTCTACAAATAAAAAGCCAAAACAGTTTTCTACAACTAAAAGGAGTACAAAGGTGTAATGCTTTTCAGCCATGTCCGCACCAGTTCCTATTGACATCTAAATGAACTTTTTCACGCAGCTCCTTCTGTCCAGATGAAGGGAAGAATCATTAAACACTTTATTACATCAAGTCCATAAACTATAGCTACAGTAGCATATGTTTAACACCCTTCAAAACCCTGCAGCTTACACATTCTACTAAAAGGCCTACCTCAAACATGTCATAAATTGTTGAGCAAATAATTGAACGCCAAATCATCCAAGTCACCAAGGCAATAATTCCTAAGTTTCTCTAACACCCTTTCATAGCTAGTGACAGACTCTGTGGCTACTTTCCCCAGAAATTGTTATAACAAAGAATGGAATGCCAGGTCATCCCTCTACGACTATCTTTATGCATGAAGGCAGCCATGTTCCATATCCTAGGATTTAATTCCTATTTTGAATTCCTTTGAAACTATGATACTGGAAATTAGAAAGGCTTTTCATGAGAAAACAAAGTTCCTAGCTGATTCCAAAGTAGAATCTGCATATAAAATGTTAAATGCTACCATATAAATATATGCATTAGAAGGGAATGAGAAAGGAGTTGTATCTGAGACATGGATGATGAAGTATAGTGAGAAAAAAAAAACAAGAGTTAAAGATAAAAGAAGAAGGAACTATTTCCTAAAAATGTAATGCACCAATGGAATAAAAGAGATAAGAACTCACCTATAAACCATATAAAAGCAGCAAGGAAGAGAACAGACGTCAGAATAAGAGCAGTTTTCCGCCAGTTGTGGATGTTGTCCTGCACATGATTGTCATCAATGTTAACATAGAATTCTCTGAAGTTGATGATAAAGTAAACAGAATTAAGGATGCTTAGCAGCTGAGAAAACCGAGTTAGGAGTTTTGAGCTAAAGCAGGAAATACGAAGACATATATGAAATATGAAACCCCTGTGAAATATATCAGATATTAAATGTGTTGGATATATGTGATGGTACCAAATAAAACATTGAACTCACTAATTGGTTTTCATAATTTACACACACTCTTGAACAGAATCAACTCCCTGACAGTTTGCTCAAGTTCCAAGATAGAAATTGTCTTAAATTCTTAAATACATAGCTCATACATTAACGAGACCTCAGCATCCAACAAAAATTGCTAGAACATATCAGAAGCTTTACTGAAGGACCCCAACAAGTGGTGAGGAAGGCACGTCACCAAAGATATGGATTGCAACAGTGGACATAGCCATGGATAATGGTCTCAAACTTGGTTTGACACAGTGCAGACACACATAATTGACAGGAGCCTACACAAGCAATCAAAATGTTGAATTGTAATGAAACTGGAGAATGAAGCATTTCAAAAGATAACTAGATGTTTACCAAACACAAAAGTTATAACATCACCTGTGTTGCAAAGACAAGTAGCTCACCCACTGAGAAAAGGGCTATGAAACCATACAGAGGCTTTAGACAGAAGGCAGTGAAGCAAAATACAGCGCCTAGAAATGTTGAGACAGATAGAAGCTGTAGCAGACAGAGAGAGCAATTTACATAACTCGACCTAAAATACTTAGATTGCCATTATATTTCAGCACATGAAAATATTTTTTATTTTTTTTATACTCATACATGTTAATATATGTTCTTTAGGTCATACGAATGCATACATGCATAAAAATAAACATATGCATATACACTTTTTTCCTGAAAGAGTATATTTATCTATAGTTTTCTTTTTAATAATAAGAAGGCTAGGTCAGGTTTTTGTTAACTCTTTTTGGCTACTTTAATTAAAAAAATTTAACAGTTATCAAATATTTTTTTTATTCAGAAACATCATGACTCAACTCTATCCAATTTAATCACTACAGTCTATTCAACACTATTGAATGAAGTTCAAGCATTATGAGTTAGTTAAAATCAACCTATAAAATACCTAAAGTGATAAGTTCTATGTTCTCAGTGAAACCTGACCTGATGATTTTTAAGTAAAACATAAGAATATTAACTACTAGATCAGCATGTTGGTGGCATATTATAGACACATATATACATGCATGTTTTGAAACATATATAACCATATAAACGATGAAACCCACTATTAATTTTCATTTATTTATACATATGTTTGTATATACATGCATGTTTTGAAACATATATAACCATATAAATGATGAAACCCACTATTAATTTTCATTTATTTATACATATGCTTGTATGTATCCATGTGCATATAAGTATTTTAGGCATTTATATGTGTGTATATATATTTATATGAGTATAAAAGAAGTATGCATATAAATTAAATATATTATGCACAAACTAAAATATATATCTCATTATGTATACTTTTGGTACTTAAAATATAAATTGAAAAACAATTCTCTAGAAAACACCTAAAGAATTGTTTATTATTTTCAAACTTATACCTATGTTTTTAGTTTTCATTTTCTACATATTATTTCATTTTCATCCGCCACAAATACCTATGTATAGTAAATTAAAATTAAAAAATACTTTCATGTACCAAATGGAGTTTCATTTTAAAATTCAACTATCTCAAGTAAAATAAAAAGTTTAGAAAAAATGAAAATAAATGTTCTCCAGAAACTGAAAATATTCTACTACTGCACAGAATTGCCTTTAACAAAGAGTAACTGACAAATTGGTAACCACATAAAATATAAACCAGTTCCACAAATTGGGTTAATGGTGAGGCAGAAAATCACCTTAAAAGCATTTGAGATTGTAGCACTCATGCGATCTAGAATGAAACCTCCAGATATTGTCCCGAGTATCCCACAAACAATTGTAATTCCTCCAAATATCATATCAGCATTTCTCTGTCAAGGCCTCATTTTTATGGGTATATCAACTACATATATCTCAGTTATAAGATTGCAGTTGTACTTTTACATAAAAGAAAAACTATTATTAGGACCAAAGAGAAAAAGAGTACAAAGATGGAGGGACAATAAGATATCCTCCTAGAGAAAAGAACCTTTTTTTCAAAAAAGAAGAACAAGAAAAGAAGCAAGAATATCCTTCAATGCAGTAGCAGCCTAAACCTTTTGCAATAGAAAAAAAAATCCCCAGAAGAAACAATGGATTTTACTCAATGCGAAGACAAAATTATCAATCTGTCCCATAGAAGCTGGAGTGACTGCAAATGATTTTTGAAAATGTAGAAATTCTTTTCAACCCATAAGACCCACAACCCAGCAAAACAAAACCCATCCGTGACGCTGTCTACTCATTCAGCCTCCAAAAACCACACAGATTTTCAGAAATAAACATTTCAATGGTCTGCAGACAACCCCAACAAACATCAAACCTATCAGAGTCTATTGCACGACTTCCTAGCCATATTGAAGTGAAAGACAGAATGAAAACTAGACTCAGATTACAAATGGCAGTTAACAGTCTAACAGAGCTATTGCTTTTATACCAAGTTAGTGTTGCAGTTATTTTCAGAACAAACAATCAAGACTTGCTATGTGGAAAAGAAAATATGTTAAAAGGAATTTTCTCTGGTACCTTCAAGGTACCAATAATACTTCAGCGATTCAGATGATTAGGTATGGTACCTTAAGGTACCATAGAATGCCATATGTTCAAAAGTAAGAATCAGAGCTCACTGTAATGATACCATATGGTAAATGTTATAACCAGCCTTTGGCCCCCAATAGGAGTACGCCCCGATGACAAAGTTGTACGATATGTAACCTGCAAGCCAAATAACTGGTAAGACATCTCAACAAGAGCAAAATGTTTTCAAGAAATGCCCTGAAGATAAGAAATCCACAACAATATTCCCAGAAGTTGATGATGCAACAAAAATACTTTGATATTAAAAATGCAGGCAAAATAGATCATGTATTGAATTGATGACAACCCGATAAAAGTGAAGAAAGGAGAAAAAAAAAGAAATACCAAGAACATTAACAACGTAAACTCTCTCAACCAGAAGCACTTTCATATCTTTTGCAAACTGAGAGCACTGGTTCAGAAATTTGCATTTACGAGTGGACCTGTCATGGGGGAAAAATCACGAACAGAATATAATTAATTAGTTATGGAAGCTACAATCAATCAACACTTTGTTATCATCTTTCCCTGTAACATGCGGTTGAAAGGTCATCAAATGGGCTTATCAAAGTAAAGCTGACTATTCCTAGCCAACACTGATGTGTTATTAACTACAAATTGGTTCATCATTAGGTGTTCCAAACTACTGAGTTGCTTTCACTCAATACGTGAATCAAGGTAGTAATAGCCCTTGAACATTACCCATCAGAAGCTAAAGACAATTACTATTAGTCTTTAAAACAGAAAATCTTCATTTTCTATGCTACCTCTAAATGGTTACTGCTTTGATAGATAGCCCACACTACCTAGCAAAGAGTTACCAGAAAGATGTATTAAGAATTCAAAGATAGAACAGGGGAAAAGATTTAACTTGTGGAGTCTGTATCAGTGCTTGGTTAATCATAATGTAAATTAGCGTTAGATGTGAAATTACCAAAAATATAGATAAAAATGAAATGAATTTTTATCAAATAATTTAAATGGTATCACTATTTTTCTTTAAAATTTCTCTTTTATAATTTTTAAAATTCAGAAATTAGTATGCATTTCATTTATATAAATATTATACTAATTTTGATTTTTTTATTTTTTAATTTAGATATTATTAGATAAATATTAAATTACATTCTATTG